AGATAATGGACATATAACTCTCTGGGGGTGGGATAACATTTTTTTGATGCTTGAATGGGAGACTTTTGCTCCTTGGAAACTTCATGAGCTCCTGACATTCCACTTCCTCTGTGGGCTAGTTATTCCAGATTATGAGGAATTTTTCTCTCCCTAATGGTCTCAGATGGATGATGCCCCAAGTACTCTTCAGTGGGTATACTTGGTATTAGGGACTGGGAGTTCATCTGCATAAGGTCCCAGCGGTGTAGGGCTAACATTGGACACCCAGGACAAGGGGTGGGGGGTGACACTATTTTGCTCACTTCACTTGCCCCCGTCCCTCCTATACAGTGTTTAGTGTGGTATTGCACTGCCCAGTAGGGATGTGTGAAACAGCACCATTCTGTTTTGACTTGCATTTCAACGGAACAGCATTTCATTTTGAATTTCATTTCGATTCAAAACCGCTCTTCTGTTTTCTTTTGAGGCTATTTCAATGTTTCACCCATAGACTATAATGGTGAAGCATGAAAAAGCCTCTCTCATCTGCCAGGCAGATTGGGGGCCTGCAACCCCAGTAGGGCTGTGGGGCTGTTCCAGTCCTTCCTGGGTGGTGGGCCCCTGATCTGCCTGCCAGATCAGGGAGGGAAGCTGGGTGCTGCCACCTGGGACTGGCGCCAATACCCAGGTTCTCTCATCCAGCAGGCAAATCAGGGGCCGCAACCCCAGGAGGGCTGTGGGGACTGTGATCGGTCTCAGTTCCCCTCCCCAGCACTACGATTGATCCCTTCCCAGAGTTGTGATTGATCGGGCTGGGGAAGGGAACTGAGCAATCAGGCTCAGTTCCCTTCCCCAGCCTGATCGACTGTAGCTGGACTCAGTTCCCTTCCTCAGCCCGATCCTAGCACTAGGCAGGGGACCTCAGCTGGGCTACTTTGAAATTCAAAACGCTATGAAACTTTTGAAACTTTTCAACTGCCCTCATTTTGTTTCAAGGCTGTTTTGAAGCCCTTCCTTTCATTTCAATTTTGCTGTTTGAGCTTGAAATGAGTTGAAACAGTGTCAAAACGAAACAGACTTCACCCTAGTTATGCTACTGATCATGTCTATTCCATTATGAGCTGCCTTCATAGCATTGTTCCCAATTTGTGACAATGGAGAAAGAGTATTTCTACACTGAAGTCAATGATTTATCTTTAGATACAGCTTTAAACTAGCTAGTAGTCTCATTATGATGACTCTGATTTCAGCACAAATTAACCACCCAAGAGTTTACCCAAGGTCTGGGGTGAGTTTTGCAGCCTACAAAATTTCCTTCTGCCACAGGATACAGAGTTCTTTTAAAAGTTGTGCGTATTAACAAAAGTTGCAGTCACCCCTCTGACGGCAGTATAAATACATCTAGAACCTGAACTGCCAAAAAGAACAGAGTTTGTTTGTCAGATGTCTGGTTGTATTTCTGGTGCCCTTGTGCCTCCAGTGTATGTACCTGATCTTCTAACACTTGGTCACCACCACCAAGCATATTTCCCAGTACAACCTCTGCCTGCTTGCCATTGGGTCCTGCCTACAAAAAGACCACCTGTTCTGTACTGTTCATCTTCTTTACTGAACTGACTTCTAAGAAGCATCCTTTTCGTATTCTGGAATTAGTGGTTTCCCCCTTCCCCATCTCTCTCTCACATACTTGCTGCCAAAGCACCCATATTGTGGTCATTGACACTTGGAGTCCAGTGCACATTAACTTTCACATAGATCTGTCATACTGTCATGGTTCGCCAACATATCTTGCTTCTTAATGAGTGATCTAGTTTGCTCTTATGTAGTCATCTTTTGAATGTTTCCTCTGTGTGCATGAGCTAAGAATATGGAAAGAATCCTCAAGAGCTGGAAAAATGTGATTTTTAGAGTATTAATAATCAGTATTTGTAAACAGCCTCAAATGCAGGAGGAATACAAAGGGTATCTAGAGATTATTGTGCAAAGCATCTTGCTCTAGGATACTTTGTTCGGGCCCATCAAAATGTAAAGAAAGAGGATGAGAAGCTGATCTTTTGAAGGAACAAGACCTGCTCTGGTTCAGAAGTTCTGTATTTGAATGCCATAACATATGTACCTTATATAGCTGCCTGGTGCTAGTTCACCAATCACTTCTAAACATTTTAAAGAGGAAACAAACTAATCTAGAAGGTTTGTGATCTGAATTTTGAATAGAAGCATGTATCTATAGCATTTGCAAGAATTAATACGTAATTTCAATAATAATTTTAATATTCATCTCACTGAGAAGATATGTATTTCATGATATCAGTATAATTAATGAATCTCCAAAGATTCCTTAAACATTGTTATGCTTTTAGAAGGCAGATTGTAACTTGAACTCAATACCCTGAAGTTATCACTTCTACTCCTTTTAGTGCAAGAGAAGCTTACAGATCCATGCAGTACACTAGTGTGAATATGCTTCAGTCTTTCAGAATGAGTTCTTGAGGCATTATGGTAGAAGCAGCAGTCACATATATGATAATACAAGGTCTCAAGGGGAACGAAAGGTGTTAAAATTATGTATCCGCTTATCATAGTAAGAGGAAATTCTACGAGTAGGTACAAGGCACATTTTTGCAGAGAATGAATGGTTAAAATGAATCTCAAAATTTGAAAGATTCAATATACAGAAATAGCAGATCTCATTAATCCAAACTAATACATAGGAAGCAAGGAACTTCCAAGCTGGATTAGGTCAGAAGTCTGTCTAGTCAAAAATCTTGCCTTTGAAAGTGGGTAGTAGCAGTTGCTTCAGAAAAAGGTGTGGGAAACTATACAGGGGACAATGGAAGAATTATCTGAGGATAGAAGCATAGAGGCATATTCACATCTCAGTGTATTGCCAGGATTTATATCTTTAATTCCTATTAAAGCTTGTAGATGTGATATGTGTAAATCTGGGTATTGAGCTAAGGATATATTCCACAATCTGCCTTCCAAAAATGCCTCTAGAGGTGTCCTACTAACCCTTTATAGTTAGACACTGTCTTATGACCTGAATCATGAAGGTTTTTATCCCTTATAAAATACTTTTTATCCTCTAATTTAGCTGCTAGTGGATTAGCCAGGCTTATACTTTAGTGAGCACCAGGGACAAAATGGTACCACTGGTCTAATGCTGAAAAATTGCATCTCCTGCTGGCCTTACTGAAACATTTGAAAAAGTAGTGATTTCTCCAAATCTGAGCTGGTGCTACTTCTCTGCTTGCCGAGAGCAGGGCCCAATAGCTTTGTCACAGGACTTGCTAGCATCCTCAGGCAGGGCTCAATGCTTCTAATGAGGGATGACAGTACCATCACCTTTTTCCCATTCAGAACTAGAAAAACTGGGTATAATCTTCACATAGTGAAGAATGTCTGCTTTTACCCCTTTTTGTATATCTGTCCCAAATGTCACAGGTGATGCCAGCTTACTTATATGCTTCCACGGAAGAGGGGAGGGACTTCACAGAGTAGACCTGATGTGGGTTTCTTCAGTCTTTTCAAAGACCAGAGTGCCCACAGAGGTGCTGTGGCAACCTTGTCTCAAAACTTAACAGGAACAGGAGAAACAGCTAAGAATCAGAAAAGCAGTGATAAATGGAGAAGCTGTGCCTTAGAGATTCGTTGACTATGGGGTGCATAGCCAGGGCATCCACAATAGTAGGATCCTAATGCTCTGGTGCTTCAGCAGCAGTGGAAATCTGCATTAGCAGTTTGCAGAAATGGAGGAAAACAATATTCTCCTGTTAAGATTCTCATATAGGAAAAGAAATATAACCCTCAAGTGTACCTGATGCCAGGTTTAGTACACTGTTATATAAGTGTCAGATATGCAAATAATTTTACCCATCTTTTATGGGTTTGGTCTCTCCTCTGTGCAAACCTTCTCTCTGTCTTCCTCTGCTGCAAAACAAAGGTAGTTATGTGCAACCTATTTGTAGAAAATAAACAACACCTAAAAGGGAAATGCCCTTGAAGCAGTATTTGCAGACTGATTACTACACAGAGAACCTGTTAATAGAATCTTGGGAAAATTCCTATTAGTTTGTGGTGGAGGTATTTTTCATTGAAAAAGTGCCTGCTATGCTTCTGTAGGAATGAATCTTTTTTTTTTTTCCTTTAGCATATTTGAGATGAGTCAACACTTGAAGGTTACCAGGTCATTGTTCAAAAGCTCAAGGGAATTACTGACCCTTAAACAGTGTTATTTTCATGATTGCCTCTTTAGTGTCTTCTGGAAAACACCAAACTCCCAAACAGATTAAATGACTAGCATAGGAGGCTCAAAACTGACAATACTCCTCACATTCTGTGTGCAGTCAGTAAAACAAAATTGCTAATTCTTTGTTAAATCTATTACAGTTTACTCACTTTGGTGTTAATCGGATAACCGTAACCAATTTGCAAACTAACACTTGAGAATGAATGATGATCTCGAAGGACGTGTGATATGTTTATCTGACCAAATTCTTGCAGACTCAGCCATCTGCTGAAGAACTTGGCAAGCCTGCACTTTATCTCCTTTTTATTTCTAGTGCAATAGGATACTAATGACAAGAAGAGAATATATAAGGGATCCCCACTGAGACTCTCAGCCATATAAATTATGTATTATGCAGACACTGTTCTGCTGATGCTATCTGATCCCCAATTCTTGATTCCTTGTTTTTGCTTCTATAAATAGCTGTGGCCAGATTTTCAGTTGTAAAATTACTAGGACAAAACCAGCAACCTTTCCCATTTAATAACCTGTGCTAAGGAAGAATAAGGTAAGGGTTTTTTTTATAACTGTGGTGTCCTCAGGGCTTTAACAATCTGGGAATACAAGCAACACTATGTTGTTGATAAGATACTTGTAGTAAAAGTGGGAATAACCACTCTGAATATTAAAGAGGGAACTGCTCTATTTTCAGAATGATCAGGATAATTGCTATTGTACATTTTCTTATCTTTCATTATTTGATCAGTACTTTTGCTTTTTGTTTTTCCTTTAGATCCTAATGCTTTGACTGGACAGCCTGTACCTGATCACGCTCTTATAGGAGGAATAGTTGCTGTAGTTGTCTTTGTAACGCTATGTTCTATAATTCTACTTGGTCGATATCTGGCAAGACATAAAGGTAGGATAGATTTAATCAAAGTGCAGTTACTTTTTGCAGCAACAGTTCCTAGTGATTAGCTTTGCCCTATAAGACCTCCCTCCCCTCTCACACCCCTCCCCACCCCCCAAATGGTTTAAACAGCAAAACTTAAGCTGAACACCTGGTTTTCACTGAGATCCTGATTTTACCCAATTGTAAAACTGCATTATGTGAGGCAGAAGGATGTCTAGCAACTTTTACCCAAATCCAGTGAATCACTGGCTTTGGGAGATTCAAATGCTAAAATGCCCTTTAGTCTAGCCCTTCAAGCATTTGATTTCATATCATTGTAGAATATAGACAGGTATTGAATCTAGGCAGGTAATGAATAAGATTTTGCAGAAGTCATAATACCTGTACTTTCCCCCAATCTAAAATGACTTCAAATTTAAAATAATCCCCATGCACAATATTGATTAAAAATTCCCATGTATAGAATCTAATTGTTGGAGGGTTGTCCAAAATTTTTCCCCTGCCCACCAGTGTGCTGGGGAAAGCAGTGACAGGGGGGCAAGCAATGGGGAGGCAAATGGGATGGGAGGGCAGGCAGCTTGACCCTAGCCCTTTGCACCCCTCCTCCCACCCCCTGCACTTTGCCCTCCCCAGTGTCTGCCTTCCCCCAGCCACTTGCTCCCCCTACTGCCTGCCATCCCTGAAATTTCTCTCTGGTGACTGCACCAACAGCAATCTACCCCACCACTGCATGCCATGCTGCTGTATGCTGCTCTGCTGTGTGCTTCTGTGCCAGGTCTCTCCCTGGCCTGGGTCCCTTGTCACTGCATGCCTCTGTCCTGGTTCCTCATACCTGCATGCTGGGTCCCGCGCTGCCCTGTACCTCTGCACTGGGTCCCATGCCATCCCATGCTTCTGCCCTTGTACCGTTCTGTCCCATGCCTCTGCTCTGGGTCCTTCACTGTCTCATGTCTCCTTGCTGAGTCTCATGCCACCACGTGCCTCGATGAGTGGATACCTGCTGCCTCTTCTGACTGAAGGGACAGCATTTTCAATTGGTACCCAATTCTGAGATGAGGCTTTATTTTCCCTATGTTGAATGGGGAAAAAGAACCTTATCTTGGAATCAAGTAATTCCGGTACCTTAAATATACATTTTTAAAAGATAACATTAAGTACAAGGGATTAAATCCTGGCCCCATTGAAATCAGCGTGTTTCATTATTTAACCCAGCGGAGCTGGCATTTCACTACAGGGCCAAGTTCTGAAGTTTTGACCCTGTTTGTTAGTCTGTACTTAGAGAAAAGCTCCCAGTGTCAAGTTAAAGAGGGTTTAGCCTGAGTAGGGACTGAGTAAAACCGAGTGCATTTTCTACACAGACAGAAGTTACAGAAGACATACTGTTTTGGAATGTCTTCATTTGACTCCTCATGCAATGAGGGCTCAGATTTTCACCCAATTGACCATTTTGAAGCAGTCTGTAGCCATGTGCTTGCCAGTTTTGTGTTTGGTCTAGCTTTCTGTGGCCAGATTGGGCAAAAATTGTCACTTCTGTTTGTGCCCTTTAAGAGATGTGATCCTCCTTGATTGTTTAAAACAGTTGTTAAGGATAAGCTTCTGAATGGCATGTAGCCAAATTATTACACCTCAATTACAAAAATGTATAAATAAATAAAAATAGGTATTACTGCTATTATTAGTCTACTAAATCTACTTGTAGACATGATGGTCATAAGGCTATTAAATTCCAGCTAATAAACACACATATTTTTTAATGAATGCATATCTTTTTGGGAAAAATTACACCTTTCTAATTAAGTAAGTGAAAACGTGGCATCTTTGCTCTACTTTTCTTCCTGGGTGAAAACATGTGAGTCCCTAGCTAACACAAATACCACAAAATGAAAATTGGCTGTTGTACTGAAGTCTAATTATTCATATCCTGAACTTCTACTACTTGCATAGCAACGTCTGCAGCAATTTAAATCCTGTGGGTTAACTTAATGCTGCTATATCAATTTTGTACTTCCAGGGAATCTCAATTATACCATTCTGTAGAATTAAGTATGGATAAAAAATGTCCTATATCAATTTGAAAGAGTGAAAAATAACGAGGAGGAATTTTTCAAAAACACTCATTTAATGAAATCTAAGCCTTTCTAAGATATAGCAACTAATATGTGACAATATAATTTAAACAATCATCTGTTAAATATATTTGTATGTTACATGAATTAATTGTTTCTGTCTAGTAATGTGATTTGCCTGTTTCACTTACCCTTTTGCAGCATGGATATACATGCACCTATATTACAAGTGTTATAGAAAGTCATTCCTACTACTCCAGAACAGAAAGTTATGTGTACCATTAATATATAGTTCTATAGTCTACTACTTCTTTGTCTAAAGCAATTAGATCTTTGTTACAAATCTACTGTTGTTAAAACAATATGACGCCAAAATACTAATACATATTTTCCATTGTACTGATTCCCATAGGAACATATTTAACAAATGAAGCTAAAGGAGCTGAAGATGCACCTGATGCCGACACAGCCATTATCAATGCAGAAGGCAGCCAAGTCAATGCAGAGGAGAAAAAGGAGTATTTCATTTAGATGAAGTCCTAGAATCTCTGAGTTTTACTTATCAGGCTGACTGCTGGAGAAAACTGGCTATCATCTTTCAGAATTCATTTCTACCATCTTCTGCTACCTTTATTAACTTCCATTCTGCTATAAGTAGCCAGTTTATGCCAACAATCAGCTCTTGACAACATCATTTTTTAATTAAAGTTCCATCCATAAAGCAGGACATTTCTTATTGCCTAAAATTCATAGCCATTGCTCTCTTAACATACAGTGCTTGAATATACAGCCTTAACAATGTTAATCATGATCTTAAACCATGTTAAGTTTTTTTACATTTTTAAATGTTACGTGGTTTTCTTCTTTCTTCCAGTTTTCTTTTGTCATGGTCCCTATCAGTATGTCATTGAACAATTTTAATAACAAATACTATTAGGTAAGGACCTAATATACTTACATAAAATATGAAATCTAAGATTAGAGGTTTACAAAGAATATTTTATACATGTCTATAAATCAAAAGCAACCTGTTTTTGAAACATATGCCCTAGGAAATGCAAACAGAAAACTTTATAGTCTAGTTTGTCGTATGCTTGGATTTGGTGGAAAATAAGTATCAGGACACTTTTTTTTTAATGGTATTATAAAAATAGTGCCATGTTTCAGTGGTAATTACATCATACTGAATATACATATAGATTCTACAGAGTTAGATTATAATAGTTTCTTTTGAAATTAATTTGCCCTGCCCTTTTATTGCTTTTTGAGATCACATGGATTAGGTATTTCTTCCAGTAATTTCTGCTTTTATAATTTATTTGCTTCATATGGACTCACCTGCCTAGTCAAATTTGAAGTGTTCCTGGGGCACAACTGCAAGGCATTTTAGTATCTGTATATAGTGCATATAATAAATCCAATTAAACATTATTTGATACATATTTAACTTTTTTGGCTGTAGCTAAGTCAGTCACAAGTAAGCATTTTCTAATGTCCATTATATCCCTTTAGATATGACTTAAATCAATATTCTGAGTGGATAACATGTATCAGTATTTTTGTCTGTATGTCCTAGCACTGTTCAGCAGCAAACTTTTCTAGTTCTTGTTTTTTCTTTGTTAAACAATGGAAGCACAATGTTATATGGAACGGTAGTTTTAAGCTAACAACCAGTGCACAGCCTCAGGTTTTAAATTACAACCACATTTGATTAATATCCTTAAAAAATACTGTTATGTTGCTAAAATTCTCAATTTTTAATTTGGCAGTTCTGGAGCTGCTTCTCTATGTTGGTTTGCCAAAAAAAGTGTTAAAACAAAAATATATGTTTTGTGTATACAGTAAATGGACTAATTCTTTATATTAAATTCCTGTCTATGCATTTTGTGAGGTACAAACTTATGTCACCGTGAATGATAGAGAATACCTGCCATGCTTTTAGCTCCACAGTGAAAGTTGCTGTTCAGATTATTTCTGAGTTTTTTGTGTAATTGACTGCTGAAAAATCTCATGCTCTTAAATATGACAACAAAACACTCTAAGCCCAGTGGCTTATTTCTTCTTCCAGTGAAATAAAACTGTTGCCATATCAACTCTTGATAGTGATTCCGTGATGGAGAATGAAAATCTGCGTTGATTGGAATTCATCTCCTTCTTCAAAATGTTGCACCTTTGAAAAATAATATTTGTCTATGGTTGCTATACTTGTGAAGTCTAAAAGCATGATGGCCTGTTGTAAAGGGTTATCTCCTTGGATTTATTTTTTTGTGTGGGGGAGGGACAGTTTGAATATGACATCATGTACTAAGGTAAAATCGAAGACAAGGTGCTGTGTCAGATTATTTATCAGAAGAGTATAAAACTTTTAAGGACAATATTAGAGTATTTTAATTGCTTTTGTTTGAACGTTTATCTTGTTAATTTCTAAGAAAAAAAGGTGACGTCAATCAAGCAGCACTTTTTTCAAACTATACAGATCATAAATAATATGATGTGGTTGAGTGTTAACATAATAAATCATATACAGTATGACATTTTAAAGAAATAAGTCTGCATTGATGTGATTGCATGCTTGTTTTTACAGTTCACTCCATACCCATATGTGGAAAAATGCAATAATATGTTAATATAGTACGGTAGTTTGAGAGAACCAGGTAGGTGCTACTAGACACATTGAAAACTAGTATAGGTTTACAAGATATTCATGTCTTTCAAAGCATACACTTTTAAAAGGCTGGCAATGGAAATCATTCCATTTCGTACCAGAAAAATAGGTTTTTGTCACAACAGTAAGTTGCATTAACTGTGTTACAATACTGTATACTTCAGTTTGATTTCAGGACTTGAAGCCCAGTCCAAGAAAGACTCCAAGTACATTCTTAACTTTAATTATGTGCACAGCTCTTTGGATTCAATGGAGCTATTCATCTGCTTACAAATTAGGTGCTTTTCTGGATCAGGGCCTTATTTGCTGAAGTTGAACTGTTTATTAATGCTGCTTTTACATCATTAGAAATTCTTTTCTTTTTTTACTCCATGTTGCTTGAACTATAAAATTGTTACTTAAATCATTACTTACCACCATGTCAAGTGAGTACGTGAAAAGTCGGAGCATCTTCAGATGTGATTGTTGAAAGCTGTCTTCTCAGCACTGAAACTTTGCAAATTGGACTGTTAAACTACACTGTTTGGTTGATTTTTAGTTAAGATTGTTCCTGTGTGCTCATTTTCAATAGATTTGATTCTCAATAGCCTTGCACTCTGTGATGTCATTTACATCTCTGGCAAGTGGGTGCAAAAACACCACGACCTACATATGTGAATGGAAAATTCAGCGGGGTAGTATTTTATAGACTTATCTCTATTTACATGTGTAAATGACTACCCTTGGTGTAAGGTAGTATTAGGCCCCTTGTGGGTAAAACCACGGTTCAGAGATAAATATAGTTAATAAACTAAAATAAATAAATAAATAAATAAAGTCTGTTTCTATTATGGCAAGATCCAGTTATGAAATACTGAGTCCATTACAGTTGGACCCTAAACTAAGTATATGTGTAAAATGAACGTTCTGAATGGGAACCATGTTAGTGACACCCACACCCACCAACACACGCAGAGTAATTTACTAAAGACAAGGTAGCTAAATTCTGTCAATGTACTGTTTACAGTGTCCATTGGGTATTTTTAGCTTTTACATGTATAACTTTTTTTATGCTTTGAAAACATAATTGTTTAAATAAGAAAGTGGCATTGCAAGACAATGGGTGCGTCTTTCCACTCTGTTTAGTGTCATCAGAGAAACTAAGAAGCAGTTTAAGGAACCTGATATTTAACTTGAGGCTCATCATTAAGCTAGGACATTAAAAAGTCTTCTCACATTTCTTAAAGGTGATTCATCTTGTACTGAGACTCCTCTAAAGAATATATGAAGAAAACCAACTTTTCTAAACAAGACATGGAAGTTAACATCTTGTGTATTTTCATTATAGTATAATATATATAACGATTTCAATGAAAAGAAAGGACAGGATCATCTGTAATTATGTAATTCATGATTGTAACAGCACTGAAGTTACCATGTACACACATGTACAGTAGCTATTTCAACAGTTACAGTGTAGTTACATGTACTTCCATGTAACATAGCAGTTATAGTGTAATTTAGTGCCACTTATTGTAAAGTGTTACCAAAAGGAAAATGGAATTCTTACCTTTACTAATCCATTCAAACTAAAGGTAAGTTTATTAAATTAACATCACAAATCTGATATTCCATTTCTTTATTAAGGTGACATAAATCTTCATGTTCACACTGCAGCTTTCCCCAACACCTACCTAGATTCTTCCAGCTGTCCAATCTCCTCATTCCTAGGAAATGGTAATCTATGATGAACATACCAAAAATTCAGCTGCTTCAACTTCAATTGAATAAGCTGTCTAATACAAAAAAAATGAGTAATGCTTTTTATTAAGTGGCACAAAGTACACACTAAAAACTATGCAAAAATATAGGTAAATACAGTGTACTTACATGTAAGTATCTTGTACTTGCTGTGTATGGATATTGGAAACCCATGTAATTATAATATGCATTTTGATTATTTCAAAAAGCCAGAGTGCCCCTAGCAGTTACATGAATTAACAGTACACTTACATGCAGTAATTACCCTAGTGCAATATGTATAATTCCTTGCCTTGTACTTATATTTAATTCGTAATAATGCATATTTTTCTCCTCATCCTCACTAGTTTTGCCTTCCTTTCCCTTTGGGTCCCATAAGACTCCACTAAAACACCTTTAGGGCAAAATAAGACTTCAACTTTGCTAATGGCTTCACTGTTAGCATGCTATAAGTCTGGCAACCTTGTTCAGAAATCTATTTCTGGCTCAGTAGCACAAGCTTGCTTCTTTGTCCTGTCCTTGAGGGAACCTAACATGCGAAGATGCTGAAATGTACTGCCATATGCCCTGGTATTTTTAGCATGAACAACAGAGAAACAGAGGTGTGTTCTTCTGACCCCTATTTTGTTGACCCTTTTCACTGGGAATTTCTACTATTTCTTTCACAATAATGTCAGGTAATCTTAAATTGCGACCATGAAATGCTTCCATTGAGGTCGAGAGGCTGCCTTTAATGATAAAGTTGACTCTTTCTCAACGTAAAATTTTATGCTGTTGATCTTTTTCTTCTTGTCATTTTTTTTATTGTGCCCTTCCAAATTTAATGAAAGTGAGATCACACAAAACTGCAAAAGAAGAAAATGAATATTGCTAGATGGAAGAGTGTAAAACTTGAGTGAGTGTTATTTATTATATCCCTCTCATGCTTGCACACTATTGTGATTAATATACATGTTTAACAACTGCTGTTGGCTTAATGACATATTATACAATTCCTGAAATTTTTCATATACCACTTTCTTGAAATACGGGCTATGAAATGTCTCTAGACACATTATAACAACTTCTCTGCCCCTAAATGGAATAATTATAAAAGTGTATTTTTAAATCAGAAAAACACCTTCCCTGTGTTCATGGATCTTTCCTCTGATTTTTACTGTCTCCTGATATAGATTATTCTGCAAACTAATATTATAATACAGAACTATACCCTCAGCTAGTGTAAATCAATTTAGTTCTATTGCTATCAGTTCAGACGAGCTTGACTGGTGTGGGATCCATCCATACAGTTTAAAAGCACAAAGTTAGTATCAGTTCAACACCAAGAATCATCCTATACAAGTCAACTGGAATATGACTGTTTTAATTAAAAAGGATGCACGTTTGTAATGTCAGATTTAAAA